CAGTACCCACATGGCCACTCTGCACCCCAGCCCTGCTGCTTCTCCGGTGAGTCCCGGCGAGCCCCCGTGCCCCACCGTGGTCCTGTCATGTCCCCCCAACACCGGCACTTTGGAGTGGGGAGGGGTTGCCATTGCCAAATTGCCCGCAGCTTGTTTAACTGAGAATTCGATTTATCGTGTGGGGAGTTTGGCCTGAGCTCCCTTCCTTTCCCGGGCTGGGGACTCATGCCCTTATGTCTGTCTGTCTGTCTGTCTGTACATTCCCTCCCCCAGGGGTGAAAATCCTGCCCATTCCCGTGCTCTCCAACAACTACAGCTACCTAGTCATCGACACTGGCTCAAGCCGGGCAGCCGTCATCGACCCCTCTGACCCACTGGCAGTGCAGGTGAGACCGCCACAGCCCCCCCAACCCAGTGTTTGGGTGTCCCCGGGTGAGTGGGTGGCATGTCTCTGGCTTTTTGGGGGTAAATCTGCCCCTAATCTGCAGTCATTAGTGCCCAGGGCAAGGGTGGAGGGACTCATCCAGCACCTGGGGAGCTGGGGAGCGTTAGGGGGAGACTGGTACTCAGGGACTGTGTCCGCCTCAAATCTCTCTGTTTTGTCCCCCCCCCCATTTCCAGGCTGCCATTGAAGAAGAGGGGGTGATGCTGGAGGCCATATTCTGCACCCACAAACACTGGTAAGGGGCAAGAGAGGGCCCTGGGGGGGCTTGGTGGCTGCCGTGGAGGGTGCCCCAGCTGAGGTGACCCCCAGCCCTACCCCACGTGGGGAGGGGGTGATATGGAGGGGACACATTTAGGGGTGCTGACCTCCCTGTGTGCAGGGACCACAGCGGCGGGAACGCGGCGCTCCGCCAGCAGCACAGCTCCTGCAAGGTGTACGGCAGCACCCTGGATGCCATCCCAGAGCTCACCAAGTGAGTCCTGCACCCTGCATCCCCCCCTCCAGCACCCCTCTAAATTTGGGGGGGGCTTTACCCCCAACCACCCACTAGTCCATCCCCCAAATGTCACATTGCCCCCTTCATGGGCAGAGACCAGGCATGCTCATGGCACTAGTGCACCGGGGAAGGGTTGCATGGGGAGGTGGGTGTTTTGAGGTGTTGGGCAGGGGGGCACCCTGAAGTTGCAGCCCTGTGCCCGGCGCAGCCCGCTTGCGGACAGGGAGAAAGTGAGCGTGGGCTGCCTGACCTTCGAGGCGCTCGCCACGCCCGGCCACACCGTGGGCCATATGGTGTACGTGCTGGACGGGAGGCCCTTCGGCCGCCCCCCCTGT